CTTGAAGTGTGCCATGTTGGCAATCCCTGAAATGGATGTGGCATAGGCAAGGAAGGAGTTAAGGGTACAGAGAGGAGGCCAGGCGGCAAAGCAAACGTACATACATTTCACATACTTTGTTGATTCGGCTTGCAACTTTCCTGGCATCTTCTTTAAGTACGTGGTTATGTACATATATGTTGCATGTATCTTTACAATACGATACCCTACATAAGTATCCCTTTTTTGTGTGCCACAGATGTCTCGTTTTATGCATTTTTGATTGCTCGCGGCTGCCTTAAGTTTCGCTTGTGAATGTTATACCTATGTATATACTCGTACTCGTACTCGTACCTACCCGTTGGCTTATCACTCTGTATTTTTTTTATGTCTATTTTGCACTCTGTTTTAACTCTTTCTCACTTTCTCTGGCCCCGGTGGAGGTGGATGCCAGCCCGGTGCCAAAAATATAAATATAAATATGTTCCACGGCTTTACGCCATTTTTATACACACTGCCACAATTTCCGTCGTTTCTCGGACTCACTTCAAGCTCCCCCCATACGCCGCTCCCAGTGCTTCCAGCTCTTCTTCCACTTTCTATCTTTTTCGCTCTCTCTCTCTCTCTCTCCATCATGGTACAATCTAGTCTGGGCAGTGCATTTTTCTCCTGCTTGTTGTTTTCCCTTATGTTTTTTTTTTGTCATATATTTTTCGGCTTTGTCGCGTCGTGTGTGTTTTCTATGTGTTTGTGTCATGCAGTTGACGTGCGCTTATTTTCTATTCCGCTCCATATGTCACGCCCGTTCTCAGAACACAGAGCTACATACACGCACACACACACACACACACGCACACAAACAGAAACAGAACACACACTGATATACACTGATGCATTAGAGGAGAAGAGAAGGCACACAAAAAGTAAAGGCAGCGGGCGGCTCTTTTGTTGAGCATCGCTTCAATTTTTCGTTTTCATTCTTTTCTTCGTATTTTTTGGTTGCCATTTAAAATACTCTAAGGAAAGCAGTTTCGCTGATGTTGGTTAATAGGATTCCAATGTGTTAATCATTAAATAATATTACATATTATATTATTCGAAAACTAAATAATATGAAAGCCATCAGCTTTCTTTTCCAACACTCTTCAAACTGAATTAAATATCTGAGCATAATATAATAATAATATTATTATGAAAGTACATTCCCATTCCATTATTTACTATTATTATTGTGAGAGCAGGCGCGATCACGTCCTCAGAGCGTTAGCATGCAGCGCTAACAGAGCTGTAAACGGCAGCAGCTACAGGCTGTTACTCTGTTACTCGTACTCTGGGCAGTTAACAGCGTTGTAAAGCTGTTAAGCGGAACTTAAGCGAAAGCTGTTAAGCGGAAGCTGTTAAGCGATTTAACTAATCGAAATATATGTATATAATTTTTGTATCTATAATGGATACGTGTTCATGCTAGTACCATGTGCACTAGGTACATGTATTGCTTCAATTGATGGCGATAGGGTATATTCCAGGTGCATATTCAACTCTTAGTGATACTTTCTGCCCTTGCTCCGTGTCCTTTTTGGTCTGTGAATTTGCAGCGTTGTTGGTCCACGTACATATGTATGTACATGCATATGTACATACATATGTATGCATGTGTCTCGTGTCTATGTTGCATGCAAGTTCCAGCGCCTGTGTGTGTGTGTGTGTGTGTGTGAAATTTTGTTGTATAAATTGCGTTGGGAATAAGAATTGAGTTCTAAAGAGATTTAATGGCATATTCTATCTTTCTCTATCTCTTTTGACCTCTCTCTCTCTGTCACACTCTCGCTGTCACTCCTCTCTCTCTCTCTGTCACACTCTCTCACTGCCTCAGTGCCTGCGTTTCCATCTCTTTCCGGCTGTGGAACATCTTACTATACTTGACTTCTGTCTCCTTCTCCTTCTGCTTGTCCCCTGTCTACCACTTCTTCATTGCAAATGGGTCTAAACAATATGTGCTTGTAGTATAAAGCATTTTGGCTTTGTCAATTTTGCATTTTCATTCCTTGAGCTCTGCAGGATGAAGAGCGGAGTGGAGCTGGTGGTGGGAGGTGGAGGTGGAGGCGTGCGAAGAGGAAATTGAGTTGCAGGTCTGGTCAAATCACTAGAGTCCCCCGCTTCCTGTGTGCCATTAGTGCCGTATGTACATATGTATGTATGTATGTATGTATGTATGTATGTATGAGCGTCTGTTTGCTTGTCATTCTCTCCATGGAATGAGAGTCCCAACAAGGAATTGCTTCATTTTCGTTTGTTCCACAAAATAATCAAATTGCTTATAAAGCAGTGCAAAAAGGTGATTAAGCCTTTTTTTAATACTTTTCATGGGCTTAATATACATTTGCATACAATGTGCATACGCCCAAGGGGCGTACGTAGACCGAAACGCAACTCAAAGAGCTAAACATATGAATGATAGATATTAATGAGACAATGCCACACAAAATCTAAATGTTGTATCCGTAAAGTCTAAAAAAAATGTCAAATGATTTATTCAGTTTTTAGTTCCAGTTAAAAAAGAAAAAGTTCGATTTTGTTGCATGGTGTAATTAAAGTAAAGTAAAGTAAAGTCGGCTGTTCAGCAGTGGAAATTGCTGTCAATTCTTTTTGCCGCATTTTAAATACCGAAATTAATTTTAAACCAAACAAAAAAAACGAGGGTAGATTCGGGCCTGGAGCGCTGCATACCCTGGCGCATCCTTTGCTGCTAGAAACGCTCTCCTGGAGAGACTTTTTTAGCGGCCGATTGTTCCACAAATAGGATATGTTTAATCCGTTCTTGGCAGGTCGTTCCCATCTATGTATACCATCTGGTTTGCCTTTAGAGGGTATGCCAATACGACATACAAAAAATAAAAATAAAAATAAAAAATAAAGGAAAGATCGAAAGGATATAAAGCAATGACCAGGAGGAGTGTTACGGACAGGGTAAAGCTATCTGTCCATGTGTGTGTGTGTGTGTGTGTGTGTGTGTGTGTGTGCGTAAGCATCTGTAAGTATGTGCTGAAAATTTATTGCATTTGTCATTAGCGCTGCGAAAATACGCAGGGACGGACGGAACGCTGCTGGAACGTTGGGATGGCCCAGCAGGCTGGGCGAGAGGGGGCTGCGCGAATGTTGGGGGTCTTGGCCAGAATTGATGTCGATGAGTTTTCGTTAATGTTCGAATATTTATTTAAAGGGATTGGCGAGTGGGGATTGGGGAATCCTTTGTATGCTCGTAATTATGCATGTATGTATGGGGGCTGTGGGTCCAGTAGCGATCGCCGCTTGTTAATTGAAAAAGGGAAGGGAGTACATACCCGTACACATATGTACGTACATACATATGTATGTAATGTATTTAATGCTGCTGTTGGTGGACAGCTAAAAATAAGACCAGGAAATAGTTTAATTTAATTCCGTCATCGATTTCAGATTTTTAATTTAATATCAGTGCCGGCAGGGGTCGATGCTAGCGTTCCACCTAATTAATTTAAAAAATATTTCCTAATGTATTAAAGTTAATTTTAATATGTAAACAAAATATATATCAATGTTCCTTTCGTAAAAGCAACTTTTAGTTCCGCATAATTAATTTAAAAAATATTTCCTAATGTATTAAAGTTAATTTTAATATGTAAAAATAATATATCAATGTTCCTTTTGTAAAAGTAACTTCCAGTTCCGCATAATTAATTTTAAAAATATTTCCTAATGTATTAAAGTTAATTTTAATATGTAAAAATAATATATCAATGTTCCTTTTGTAAAAGTAACTTCCAGTTCCACATAATTAATTTTAAAAATATTTCCTAATGTATTAAAGTTAATTTTAATATGTAAAAATAATATATCGATGTTCCTTTCGTGAAAGCAACTTTTAGTTCCACATAATTAATTTTAAAAATATTTCCTAATTTATTAAAGTTAATTTTAATATGTAAAAATAATATATCAATGTTCCTTTCGTAAAAGCAACTTCCAGTTCCGCATAATTAATTTTAAAAATATTTCCTAATGTATTAAAGTTAATTTTAATATGTAAAAATAATATATCAATGTTCCTTTGTAAAAGTAACTTCCAGTTCCGCATAATTAATTTTAAAAATATTTCCTAATGTATTAAAGTTAATTTTAATATGTAAAAATAATATATCAATGTTCCTTTTGTAAAAGTAACTTCCAGTTCCGCATAATTAATTTAAAAATATTTCCTAATGTATTAAAGTTAATTTTAATATGTAAAAATAATATATCAATGTTCCTTTGTAAAAGTAACTTCCAGTTCCGCATAATTAATTTTAAAAATATCCTAATGTATTAAAGTTAATTTTAATATGTAAAAATAATATATCAATGTCTTTTGTAAAAGTAACTTCCAGTTCCGCATAATTAATTTAAAAATATTTCCTAATGTATTAAAGTTAATTTTAATATGTAAAAATAATATATCAATGTTCCTTTGTAAAAGCAACTTCCAGTCCGCATAATTAATTTTAAAAATATTCCTAATGTATTAAAGTTAATTTTAATATGTAAAAATAATATATAATGTCCTTTGTAAAAGTAACTTCCAGTTCCGCATAATTAATTTTAAAAATATTTCTAAGTATTAAAGTTAATTTTAATATGTAAAAATAATATATCAATGTTCCTTGTAAAAGTAACTCAGTCGCATAATTAATTTTAAAAATATTTCTAATGTATTAAAGTTAATTTTAATATGTAAAATAATATATCGATGTTCCTTTCGTGAAACAACTTTTAGTTCCACATAATTAATTTTAAAAATATTCCTAATTTATTAAAGTTAATTTTAATATGTAAAAATAATATATCAATGTTTTGTAAAAGCAACTTCCAGTCCGCATAATTAATTTAAAAATATTTCTAATATATTAAAATAAATTTTAATAATAATAATACATATATCAATGTTCCTTTCGCAAAAGCAACTTCCAGTTCCGTAAAAATAAATCCTTTGATTGATTCAATGTCAAAATTTTGATGTAGTCATGAGCACAGTTACTTGTATGTCAGCTCTAATAAATACTCCAATATATACGATACAACACAATAAAATAAAATTACACTGGCAGCTTTAGTAGCAAGACAGTCTCCGTTGCCTTCGTTGAATAGTTAGATTGCAGGCCATACAATGGCCAGCATCTTGTCCGATCTGCACCTGTGGTACGTTGAACATTCCAGCCAGCGAATTGCCACACACACACAGACTCTAACGATATTGGTATTTGCCACAGCTTTAGCACAATTGTTGGATCGCTGCACTTTGAGCGCCTGTTGCCATGGCTTAAAATGGCACTTGCCTATTTTCTCATTTGGTAAGTTGTGCGGCAAATGAACGAACGACTCCCTCCAGCTGACATGTGCTGCCCGACAGTTTTATAGGCATGTGGAGCATTCTCTTACGATCGAAGCGCAGCCGCGACCTGACAGATTGGCTCTCAAGCTCGTTGGCCAATCTCCAAATTTGGTAAGTGATGCCAGCAAATGAAATGAAGATTCCTTGAGCGACTCACACACATGAGCCCTGATCCCCAGTTTTGTCAGCGCCTGGGGCACTCTCATGCGATTGGAATCCCGCAGGGATCTGTTGTTTTGGCTTTTACGTTCTTTTGGTTATTTGTGTATTTGGTAAGTTGGAAGGCAAATGCGGCAAATACATTCGAATGACAAACGGCATCCCGGGAATCCCTCACAGGTTGATGAAACGCTGCCAGGACGCTTTGGGTGCCTGCATTGACTTCTGGTCCAAGCCGCAGGTGCGTCGCTGCCTTTACGCGAGCAGCCTCACACTCTGGCAGGATGTGTACGGCATGCCGAATACCGGCCGTGTCGTCCTATTTGGCAGTTGGCAGTCTAGCCGCAATGACTGCTGGCTCAAGCGCGCTGCTAAGCTGATTGACCAGGCCAAAATGTGCCTGGACGTTGTGCTGCTGTCCGCCGACAATGCCCGGTACCTGGACTGCATAGTGGCTGCCCATTGGCGGGGTGTCCGTGTGCGCATTCTCGCCAGCGACAAAATGCTGGCGGCCAATGCTCCGCTCATGCGGCGACTCTGTGCCGCCGGTGTGCCGGTGCGCTGCTACTCGGTCGGCGTCATTTTCAGCTACAACTTTGCCATAATAGACAGTGAGAAGCGCGCCCTGGAGATCGAAGCCACGCTGGATGGGGTGCACACCAGCCTGTGGCGTCTCAGGGGCAACCTGATAGGGTGTCTCAAGTTTTTCGAGCTGGGCCTGTTCAACCATGGGAAAATAATCTATAGGCCTAACAATTACCACTATCAAAAGTTCTTTGATGAATGGAACTTCTTGTACCCCGTAACCCTGCCCTATTTTAAAGCATACAATTGGATATGAGATGCAGTAAGTGCACAAAATTAAAAGTTACTTTATTCGTTAATCGTTAATCTTGTTTTTGGTTTTCTTATGCCCAGAAGACGGCTTTGCTGCTGCTGTTACTGCCTGTTACTGCTGCTGCTGCTGCTGTTACTGCTGCTGCTGCTGCTGCCGGTAAAAAAAAGCACAAAGCTTCGGCTCTCCATCTCTGGCTCTCTCCCATTGAACTTTGATTCAGTCGCTCTCCGCTCTTCGCTCTGCTTCATCTGTTACTGTTTCTGTTACTTGCTCTTGTTCTTGTTATTTTTACATTGGCAATTGGTCGGGCAGCTGCATTGTCTCGACACCGTTAGTGTGCTTGTCGTTCTCTCAGCGATTTGCATAGCGTGGCGTGGCGTGGCTCTCTGGCTTTCATTGTTGTTGATTTGCATGCAGTAAACACTTTTATTGTTGGCCTCCATTTGCGCTGTGGTGTGTGGTCTGCTCACAATAAATGACATTACTTGTATACCCTTTACCGAGGGCAGAATCACTATACTCTATGCTCTGTTTGGCTGTTTTATCTTAAATTTTTAAATGTGCAGCAATTATTCTGATATTTAAATGGAGCAACAAAACTTTACTTCACTTTATGTAATTCCAGTAGATAACTATTGAAAACTTGAAGGGTATTCAAGGCTGAGTATTCACCCAACTGCAACTAATCTTTGGCTTGTTGTCCGGTCCGGTACGGTCCGGTACGCCCCGAAGTGTGTACGTCCCTCTCTGGGCCAGTTGTCTCATCATTTTCGCATTCGACGTGACTCACAAAGTTTGAAGAGCTAACCGAGCGGCGGGCAGGGGCTGGAGCTGGGGCTGGGGCTGCGGCTGGGGCTGCTGCCAAAATTGTACATGCCTTGACATCAGCACAAACAGAACCAAAAGATGGTGCGGTGTGGTAGCAGGGCGGCGGGTGCATGCTGCATGCTGCATGCTGCAGGCAAACCTCTTTCTGACTGCTGCACTTCCGCTTTCAACGTTTTACACTTCAATTATCTTCAATTTTCGGGGCGAATGTCTGTCTTCAAGAACAATGGTCCTGCTGATTGGAATTCTTTAACCCAATGCAGCCCCCCCCCCACACACACACACACACACACACACACACACACACACACACTCAGACATACACACACTCGTATTCGTATGGGGCGAGCCAAGTTGGGGGGCAGTGTCTGGTTCTGGTTCTGGCTCTCAAAAGCACAGCCAGAAAGAGATAGAGAAAGACCTGCAAGACGGCTACAAATGCGACAACATTGTTGCCCTTAGACTAACCAGGACCCACATCCTCGCAGCCTCGCAGCCTCGCATCCTCGACCCCATGAAGTGCTGCAACAGCTGTCGACAAGCAATTGCCACGGGGAGCGGTGGCGAGGGCGGGGGTAGAGGAGTCGCATCTTGAGCGTTAAGGGAAGAAGGTAAATCGAACTGACGCAATGGCGTTTTGCTGATGGCATCCACTTTATTTTCGATTCGATTTTTCTGTTTCATTCTTTTGCGATTGTGTGGGAATTTGTTGCAATTTCATTTTCTATTATCAAATAATTTTGGTGAATTTTAAAGCAAACAACAAGTAGGGGGGTCCAGTAGTATTTTGTTGTTGTCGAGTGGGGAAAAGTAAATACAAAATAAAGCTGCAGAATACTCGTAGAACAGACTTAATTCTGTTCAAGTCTGTTTAGTACAAATACATAAATTGTAGAACTGCAGAGCAATTGTTTTTGGCTTTGAGAGTATCTCATGAGAACCAGGATTAATTTTCATCTCGTACAGAATAGGTCATAATAATCAGCAGAGCCCCATAAGTTCAGCTCAGACCTCGGTTAAGGTTAGTCCCAGTCGTCAACGTGCTGGAGAGGGTCCCCTGATCCTCAGGGGGTGTATGCACATATTACCCTATGCACCTTATGCATTCGCCATACATTTTGGAATTGAAAGTAAAATTCAAATTTCATTTCACTCTCTCAAAGAATGGGCTGTGGGCATGGCCGTGGGTAGGGGTAACCTAAACAATCCGATCGAATGAAGTCAAACAAAGCGGCGAGTCGCAAACCAGATTAACAAAGCAACAAAAAGGAGAAGACAGCGGATATGGAGAGAACGAAACGATAAGAATAAAAGACTCGTATCTGAGGCGAATCGTAAGATACCCTTGCACTTCGTACGTACATGCATACTACCTACTTATTTGTGTAAATATATGTCAGAAGATAATTAATCACAAAACAAAACAAAAAATTTGTCTCTCTGAAGATTTTATTACATGAGGGACTTCCGCCGTCTGGTGGAAGCGGCGAGCTATCACGCGAGCTTTTCTACCCGCGACTGCCTGCTTCTACCTGCCTCTACGTACTTCTACCTGCTATGCGCTTCAATCGTCGTGAAACCCTCCGCTAGGGTATAAAAAATAAAACGTAGTGGACGGAGGAGGCCCGTGGAAATTGGCAAAAGCAAACGAAATCAAAAAGCGAGAGACGAGCGACGAGAGACAGTGCTGCATATTGAGTGCGGGAGAGAGCGCATCTCTGATACTCCCTCGCGTTCACTCTGCCTTGCCCTGCCCTGCCCCCCCCACTCACTCACTCACGACTACAAAGAGTAACCTTTGCCCCTAACTGGGAAATCAAATTGATTTTGAAATCCTTTTTGTGGTGGTGTGGGCAGGGAAGGGGCGTGTAGGGGGGGGGAACGATGCAACAAAGATGGGAGCGTCCGAGATGCAAATTGCTAGAGAGAGAGATGAAGCGAAGGAGTGATAGATTTACAGCGTGCGGTGGGGCAAGGGGGCGGTACACGGCGGTACAGTGGGGAATGCCATGACATGTCCATCGAACTAGACTACTGTCGACCCATTGCTGGTCACTTTGCTCGGCTTCGCTCCGCCTCTGTGCTGCGCTGCGCTGCGCTGCTTGCTGATGTGATTTTTGCCCATTGTCATGTTCTAAGAGGCTTAAAGCCTGTTTCCTTCGAGTCATTCGAGTCAGAAGTGGGCGCAAAATCCGTCCATAGCTCCATTTAAATATTTCGTTAGCTTTTTTTATACAGTATAGAGCAAATACAAAATGCGTATGCGTAATACGTATACGTAATAACCAGAAAGAAGCGCTTCCCGCCGTTCGCTTAATTTTATTTATTTAATAATTGTTTTTATTTGATTGATTGATTGACATTGCGTGAAATGGTCTAACGTGTGGCAATGTGGTGCATGTGGGTGGGCAAACAAGTGTACAGATCCCGTCTGGTGCCCCCTGCGGTAGCTACTTGTAGCGGTTGATCTTCTGGATGAGGCGCGCCCACAAAATGAACGAGGCTGTGACGAACATCAATGAGGGATTCGATGTGAGTATCTTGACGGTATTGGCGACTCTGCACATGGCGCTGCGAACCGGCACCGGCACAAGTTCCAAATAGGAAGAGAGGCGCTCATGCAGCGTCTCGTCGGGCTCATCATCAAATAGCTCAACGGGCTCAACGGGCTCAATATCGAAGTTCTCATCATCGCTGGTCTCAACGCGTCTATGGTCCATCTTGTCTTGTAAAATATATTCACAATGTTTGAACGGTAAGAATTTGGGAATGTCGCCAGACAATAATCTGTAATCGCCTGCCTAAAAATGACTTTAGACTTTAGGCAACTTGGAGATACAAATTTCCCAGCATTTACAATAGTAGGTACATTCACATACAAATTCATTTGTAGCTACAGCAAAATAAATAAACCTCAGACGCGCTCTGCAGCTCTGATTGGCAACTGGCCCTTTCCACTGTCCTGGGTACATCATTGCCCTGCAGTCCCTGAATGTCCTTCAGCGTAATGTTCTCTTCGTTCTGCACTCATTAGTTTTACGGAATTGCGAAGTTCTACTCAAAATTAGTCTTACTTTTGTCTAATGAAAATTAAAACAAATAGTCGAGAATTTTAATAGATTTCAATTAAAATTGTGGTGCATGCATTTTGAATAGTTAAAACCAATGCTGCTATCTAGTACTCACATATTTACATGTGTATATATGGCTATACATAATGTGACTTTGTTTATGGCACAGTGACATTTTCGTGTCAGTTTCGTGCTGTCGGTATCTACGCTTGGGATGTACAACTCCTATAATAAAATGCGAACCCTATCAGGTTTTTATTTCCCCGTGGGCTGATTGGATTCCGACACCTCCCCACTCAGCTATAAAAAAAGAACTTACACCCCCAGCCCCCGCTATCGTTGGGCTCGGCACTCGGGCGGTGGCGCAGGCGCCTTTTGGCAAACGCCAAGAACACTATCTCCTGGCACCTCCACACAACTCCAACGGCCAGAGCACTCCTCGGCTGCCCGCTCGACTGTTTCTCTACCATTTCTCGTGTACAGGTTGGTTCTGTTTCCTTGGGCCCACATTTTCATGCAAAGAAAGTCACAAATTTCTGTGCCTGTTTCCCCATCTATCTATGCCCCCCCGCGGCATGCGCCAATGCAATTTTACATGCATAGTGAAAGGAATTTGATTTGGATTTCATTTTTATTCGTTTACGGGCTTATTGGGGGGGGCGGCCCTGCAGCTCACCTGCTACGAAAATAACAAGGTAGAAAAATCAGCGGCTCCTGTTTGTGCCAGAGTGTCGTCCAGTTTGTGCATCCCTCGCTTCCCAACTTCTGCTAGGACCGATTTGTTGTTTTTGTTTTGCTTTTCGGTGATTTTCCACTGCTACCTACACATGTAGGTGTTGGGGTGGGCACAGCTGCCAGGAGGCATTCTCAACACACATACGAGCATGCCACATCCCGCACATCCCACTATCCACCGTTCGAGCCATCGCATCCCCCCCATTCGGCATATTATGAAGTAAACATCCCAATCGTTTATACAACTGTTGCCAATCTGACCCCCGACCTCCGCCAACGCCAACGCCGAGCCGCGCTTCCAATGATATTTCCGCCCAAAGCAAAATGTTACCATCGCCACCTTCACTTACCCATACCCAGCGATGATGCCACGGCATCCCCTGCAATTTGGTGAGGAAACCGACCCCAGGGGCCGCTTCAATCACAGGAGGAAAACAATTTTTTATGCTTCGTAGCTGTGCGTTTCGTGATACCCTACCTTGAGCGGGCTCTAACAATTTTAGACAACAAGCAGATACGGCAGCAACTATATATATATTTATATATCTTTAGATGCTCCGCTATCAAGGCTTAAACTAGTAACTAAACTCAGTATATATGTAGATACATATGTATACTCTTAAGCTGTGCTAACCAATATCGCAGCATTACATCACATGATATGCAGCTGATCGCTGGAAGAATTATCAGAATTATTACTCGATAAAATATGAATCAAATTCGTATCGTAATATTGTATGTACATATCATAAAGCTTCACTGTAACATACCGTAGAATAATTCTATGGGAAATAATTGGCGGAAATGCGAAATTTGTTACAAATCAAGAAAAAATAGGAGCGAAAGGAGAACGAGAGGGATGGATCAGCAAGGGTATCTAAAGCATCG